TTCGGAAAGCGCCTCTCCTAATCCGCAGCTATGCCCTTGCGATATTTCTTCTTTCGCAGCGTCTCGGTCCAGACTTCCACGTCGTACAGGATCACTGCTTCGGCGGCATGCATCAGTAGTCGCCTCCTGCACGGTCGGAGCCCGTTGATGTTTGCCACGAGTGTGTCCAGCGAGGCTACTACTTTTGCCGCCTTGTCGGCTGCCCTGATTATGTACTCTCCATAATTAAGCTTGTTGTCAAGCATTACACCATGATATTTGACAGCCAACTTAGTCTGGACTGCCGCATCTCCTACAATGAAGCTGCGCAAAGTGTTGGTGCGCTTCTTCGTAAGTAGCACGATCTCTGTCTTCTGGGCTGCCAGAGATAGCCCGTGGTCTTCCGTCCAGGAGATGACTCTGCGCATGACCTGGTTGAGCAGCAGCTGTGCCCCCTCCGCGGCTCTTGCGGTTATGACAACTGCAAGGTCTTCTGCGTACCCAACTAAGAAAACACCTTCAAGGACTACCATACGTAGGATACGGTCGTAGAATATATTCCAGATATCCGTTCCCAGTATGGAGCCCTTGGCTGTCCCCGATGTTAACTCCAAGCTTCTTGGAGGATCGCCAGGACTGTATTCTAGGAAGCGCTCGTTCAGATAGTCCCCGAGAATTCGGAGTAGGTACTTCGGGACGCTGAAATTTCGTTCGAGCGCTTCCATTGCCAAGTCCCATCTTACGGAGTTGAAGGCATCTCTCACGTCTAAGGTGGCTAGCAGACACAAAGGACGAGTTAGATGATTCCTCGCTCCATCATTTTAGCGGCCGTGACAACCTCCTGGACTGCCTGGATGATGGAGAGGCCGGATGGGAATCCATACTGGCGGGCGGCAAGATCTCCTGCTGCCCTTAAGACTGCGTGCAGCCGTGGCCTAAGCAGCTTCTCCAGAGCTTTGCCATCGAACACACAAATAGATCTGTATGACGAAGCGGCATCTGCTGGACCTTTGCCCTTGCTTATGAGCACAAATCTGGCTTTCTTCCACGGAGCGGGAAAGATGCCCTCCCTGAGACGCATGTTGTACATGTTTAGCAAGAGCTTGGGATGACTGCGCGACGGCTTTCATTACGTCCGCTGGAAGACCGTCTGGTCTTGGAGCTTTCTTGTTCCGCATGGAAGATGCGGCCTTGAGTAGCTCCTCCTCTGTAAATTGTGGCCCTTCGGGGCTGCGCAGCTGTGCGAATCTCTTTCATCAGATGTGAGGGGAATAGGGTATGAATGATGTTTTCCAACGTCCTCGCGTTCTGAGAGATTCCTTGCGTGTGCGTCCCCAGCTTGCGAGTGACGATCTGGTACCCTAATCCCTACGGATTCTGGTCGACATCCAGGCACAGCTCCTTCCAGCACCGTCATTGACTGGACTTGATGGTCCTCTTCAAAGCTTTTTTGGCCGCTTGATACTCTGCGGCCAAGGGAGCAGCGTCGAGGTCGCGTCTCTTCGCTCGTTCTTTGGCATCGCTATCGCGCAAGCCTTTTGGATGAGCTTCATGGTTGCTGCGCTAGTCAACCTAGCTTGTGCAGGTGCGATAGACTCGCGGAAGCAATTTGTTGGGATCTCCATCCTTCCTCTATGACCAAAGACAGCCATCTCGATCCATTCTTGTAATGTTCCACCGGGGGGTCGCTCTGCACTTCTCGTGGCTGGCTTCCTATCGTGTATATCGAATAGGATGTACTGATGGTCGCTCCCGGTATAATCCTCAATTACTCGCCAGCCTGCGACTCTTGCCACTAGGTGTGCGTTGGCTAGAGAGACGTCCGAGATCGTCTCTCTGTGGCCAGGCCTTCGGAAGTTTGACGTCGAGCTTGTGTTGAGTACCGATAGCTCCAGTCTCGACGCCACCTCCATGATTCGTCTTCCTCTGGAGTCCGGCCTGACCTCCCCCCATTCGAGAGCTTTGGCATTGAGGTCTCCAGCCACAATGAGATCCCCTTGCATTTTCCACAGCGCGTCTTCCAGATCGTCCAGTTTGTTCTGAAAGTCGTCTATCCGGTTGTTCGGGGTGAGATATACGCTGACATAAGTCGTCAAGTTATGTCTCACCCAAACGTCACCGCGTCCGGATCCTTGATCCGACACATGTATCTGTCGGGGATCTGGGATCCAGATGGCCGCGGTGACCAATTCGTCTGCGTACCATCCTACTCCTGCTCTGTCTTGGTACTGTTCGCTGATTAGAACAATATCAGCTTTTTTCTCAGAGCAGAGCTGGGTCAGTAGGTGATGCGCCGTTCTGCTCCTATTGAGGTTACCCTGAAGTACTCTCATCCTTTTTTCTTCTTGTTAGTTATTACAAGGGCCTCCTGGAAAGTTTTGCAGGCCCTTGATCCCGCCAGGTGCTTCCTAGTTTCAACTACGCTATTGGAGCACAAGAAGCAAGTAGGCTCGCTGTCCTTGCAGTCTTTTATCTTGTGCCCCGTGCCACCGCAGAAATAGCAAAACTTACTACGATCAGATCCCGTGCACGAGGCGTTATAGTGACCATAGTTGAGACAGCGGTAGCATCGCCCCACTTCTGCCCTTCGCCTGACCCTGCAGCTGACGAAACCGACCAGCACTCGTCCGGCCTTTAAAAGCATCGCAGCTGCTTCCTCTTCTATTTTGACGAGGGCCAGGCATTGTTGTCTCGCGTTGGGGTTCGTCATCTTAATTTTGATTTTCCCCGAGTAGTCTGGCAGGGTCCTCTTTAGGGCCTCCTCGACTTCTATCAACGATGTGCAGCAATCGCAGTCCCGTATCTCCAGCGTAGCTCTAGGGACCAGTTCCGTGATGCTGCTCGTTTCTCGTACTTCTTTTCTCAGGATTTCTGCGAACGAGGCCCTAATATCTGCAGTGGTCATTTTGAGTTCGTGGAGAATCCCTCCGGTTCTGATCTGCCGGACCGACCTAACATCTACCCCTGCGGCGCTGGTTTTGAAGCGCTGGTGGATGGCTCCGACTACGTCTGCGTAAGATTTACCTTGCGCAGGTTTCAGGAGAATCGCGTCCGATCTCGTTCCCTTTCTCGGCCTGTCCTCCGATTTGCTCGACTTCTTTTTCGCCTACTTGGATATTTCGCCTCGTGGATGTTTCGTCTCCTTTTTCGCTGGTTTTTTCTTATTTCTTTTCTTCTTGACGACCTCCGTCCACTTGGTGGTTTCGGTCGTCGTCGCCTCTTGCCTCGGCCTTTTGAGGCTTTCTTCAGGTAACTGCGGCGGGCTTGTGGCTACTTTCTTAACCGCGTCAGCATCTGTTATAAAGTTTTCCCTAGGGCTCTGAGAAAACCGGGCGAGGGTCCTCGCTCCCTTACTGATCTTTTTTCGAGATTTATACATGAACTCGAGACTATCAATGATGTCCTCAAGTTCTGAGAGCCCTTGCTTAATCTCCCTGTTTACGTTTGGCTGACTAGTAATAACCGACTTCATTTTGGCAAGGAAGAATTTCGCTTGCGCGAATTTCTCACTCTCTCCATCTTGTGTTGTTCCCTTCGCAGGCTGGATAGGTGCCGTCAAGCCGGAGAGCCGAAAGCCATCAACGGCCCTAGCAGCCTTTTGCCATTCCTCCAAGTGGCCTTCTTCATATTTTACCCTTCCTGGCACTTTCGTCACACCGCAGGCCAGGTCGCATACCTGTGGTGCACTTCCTGATGCATTATCCAGAGCTGGAGCCAGGTTGCCTACCCCAAACTCCTGGCAGTTGCTGGATGACGACAGCGGGTGGCCTGCCCTACCACCACCTGACACCGCCGTGGCGTGGGTGTCCTTCCCACGCCCGCTTTTACCTTTCGCTGTACTATCCATCATGAGTAATATATTTTTGGGAGGCAAGCTCCCCAATAGAAAGGAAAGGAACGGAAGGAAGCTAGAGAGTAAGAGAAAGAATAGAAAAAGATATGATAAGAGAAAAATGAAAGGAATAGCCGTACAAGAACATTCACACGCCATTCACACAGATGACTGACTCGGAAGTAGACTCGGAAATTGAAAATGCGCTAAACAAGAATATAAATGGGAGAAAGCACGTAAGAAAATTGTAAAGAAGAATATTGAGTTCGTTAGAATCTTCCGATTTTGATATTCATGTAAAGGTGGTATGCAAGGTAATGGTAACAGAAAAATTTGAATCCGAAAATATATAAATTTAATTCGAATGACTAGAATGAAAATACAAATTAATCGATTTGCTACTCCATTAGCAAACTTCGAGCTATTTTTTTCCAATAATTAGTATCATTTATTGTAGAAAAAACAAATCAGTACCGTACACACAAAATGGAAAATTCCATATACTGGTTTATAAAACAAGAATAAATGACAACTTTAAGTGAAATATGTTGTTTTTTTTGCAATTAGGTTACTAATGTCGCGACTTAAAAAATTGCATTACACCAAGTATTGGATAAAAAATAAATTTTTGCGTACTGACATTTTCGGACATATAACGAATAGTAATCGATATGTATTTTTATTACGAATGCTTTATTTCAGTGAGATTACGACAACTAATTCTGATTGTTTAGTTAAAATAAGAGAATTCTGTAATAAGCTTCGCTTTTTATTTAAAAATTATTTTAATCCATTTTGTAACTTACGCAGCGATGAAAGTTTATTGTTATATAAACGCAGGTTATCGTTCAAACAATATATTCCATCCAAACGGAATAGATTAGGCATCAAATTTTTTATACTCTGCGACTGTAAAATTAAATACGTCTTCAATTTTATTATATATGCAAACAGCTATTCGGAGGTAACAAAAATAACCGAAAAGTCTCTCAGAAAATCAAGCAAAATTATAATTTCACTATTAGTACCATATTTAGGAAAAAGAACACCTTGTTTGTTGATAATTGGTATACCAATCCGGCTTTATTCGCTTATCTCTACGACAATACAACAAACGCCTGCGGTACTGTAAAATGTCGAAGAAAGGGATATGTCTATCATGAATGAAAAATTAAAAGCAGGTGAAATATGTTTTCAATCTTCTCCTAATAAATTAGCACTCACATAATAAAATAAATGTGAAATACATATATATACTCTTCACTTGTTACTCTGCAGATTTTGTAAGTACAAAAAAAATAAATTACTGAACGAAGCAAGTTATATAAAAAACCACCATCGAAATGGACCAAACCGCAAATATAAGCATGATAAATAATAGGGATAAAGTAATAACTAACGTTGAATCCGTCAGAAAAAATATTAAATGGTACAAATAATATTTTTTCATATAATTGATGTGGCCATATAGAATGCGTTTTGTTTGTACAAGATGAAGAAAAACGAAAAAGTGACAATGCTCGCATTTCACCTTCAATTAATAAAAAAAAATGGTCAAAAAACATAAAATGTTAAACAATAATTATAGCAATCGTAATAAATCTATTGCCAACCACCCTTAAGATTAACTAAAAGATATTAGTTTATTGCGTATTTTTTGAAATCTTTATATGAAAATGTATAAATAAATTATAACTTATTTATTTATGATTCTATTCTGATCTAATGTCATAGTAAGAAACGTTATACACAGTTTACGCGCAGTTCGCATGGAAGCTTGCCGTACAGAGATACAGTGCCACGGGAAGTTCAATTGTAAATGAAAAAGTTAAATGGATCTGTTTCGATTGCGAATGGTATGTACTAGTCTGTTATTGATTTATTCAAAATTTTTTTTCTACCGCTTTCATTAAATGTGATAAAATGTTAGAACCTCGATCTGTTAAAATTCCCTTTGGTGATCAGAATTTACATACATATGATGCTTTTTATAAATGCATCCGCGATTTCTTCCGAAAAAGCTTGTCGAAGTTGTACAGCTATTGAATATTTAATTAATAGATTTTGTGCTATTAGTATGTAATTGTTTCCCTTATGTATGGTAGGCATAAGACTACCATCGAAATTTTATCAAATATTCTTCTCTTCAGTAAGACTTACTGGTTGATTTGTTTTTAACCTCACAAGCTTTTTCGCTTGACAACTATGATAATTCTATACATAATTTTTAACTAGAGCCGTTTTTCTTTAAATTTAGAATAAGTTTTCGTGAATCCTTTGTTTTCTCCTATAGAAGTTGCGTGGTTGTTATATATCATTTGGGTCGTTTTTATCTCTTTTAATGTAATTATTTCATTTCTTAATACAATGATTTTAGTATTTCTACCCGAAAAGATCGAATGGAGTTTTTTTCTAACGTCGGCCCAGACTGTCTCTCATTGATCCTTTGGATATAACTATCGTTTCCAGTTGAAGTTCAAGAACCGCGTCGAAAAAAGAACGAAGGGTATCGTCGAAAGTTTCCAATTTTATAGAGACCGAAATTTTCTCCTTGACGGAGAAAATTATCGTTCGTTTCGTTTAATTATCTTTATTGGGGATAACTTTCCGTTATCTGCTAGTTTTTTCGGCTATGTCTGTGGGTGTTCCAATCACGAAATATGCACGGTGTCCGTTATACATGATTATACGATCTCTAATTTCTATAATTTGACTGTCTATATTACTGTACGGTATTTCTTTGAGGTCTGTTTCATCTTTATCGTCTTTATTATTTTTACTACATCTGTTTGCAGAATCGTTTTTGATTTCGTATTCAGAATTATTTCCTATGTGTATGTTTTCGTTATCGTGTTCGTCGTTTGGTTTATTAAAAGAGGTTCTTATTTTCCGCATTTGTTTATTTCTAGAAGAGTAGAGTTCATCATTGCTTAATCGTCATTTTTCGATCGTTTATACTGGCTATTGGAAATATTTGTATACTTATATCCACGGTGTTCCTCGATAGTGCGTCCGCATCTATATTTCTTTTACTGTATTGTACTTCTATTACGGTATTGTACACGATCCTATACTAGTACCCAGCGATTTTAGACGCCAACAAATTAATCTAGAAGTTGGATCTTTTGCTGAATTTAATCAGACTAATGGTTTGTGATCTGTCACTAAACTAAATTAATTTTCGTACAAATATGGTAGAAAATAATTTACAGCGTAGATTATGGTATATATGGTATATAAATTCTGTTTTGATTGTTGAATAATTTTGTTGGTTTAAAAGTCTTGAAGTATACGCGACAATAGATCTTTGCCGATTTCGCCTAGACTCAAGATTCTTTCTGTTGCATAGTTAGAAGCATCTGCAGTAATAATGAACGAACGGCTTTGAAAAATCTGAGTATTAGAGAAAAAGGTTTATTAGATTGTTAAAAGCGTTTTTTTGCGTTTCGTCCCATTTGAATGGTACGCCCTTTTTTAAAGGATTAGTGAAAGATTTATTAATTGAAAAGAAGTTCAGAATGAATCGTTTATTGTATACGGCGAATCATAAAAACTACTTGATGCTCTTAACTCTATGTGGTCTCAGAAATTTTTTCACGGCTCTTATCTTTCCCAGATCGAATTTCAATCTCGTTGAGCTACTAGTATGCTACTTTTTTCTTAAGAAAATTAGAAAATTACATTTGTCTGGCTGTAGCTTTAAACCAGCTTGTCATAGCCTATCAGATAATTTTCGAAATTTTATAATGCGTTTTACTAGCGAATTCGAGTAAATAACTACATAGTCTAAGTATACGAAGAGTTCATTTCTCTGCACCCAAAGAATATTCTATTCATTAATCCTTGAAACGTAGATGATGCGTTTAATAATTCTAATGGCATTCTAATGACATATTGTTCGAGTATGATAATTGTGATAACAATGATAAAGAGGAAAAAAGAGACAAATTTTATTTTTATATGCCAACAGATTAAAGGGAACATTTTCAAATGATTGGAATAGAGTTTTCAAGGACTCTAAACAATGGGCACAAGAGGCAGTAGCTAATGATAACGATAGATAAATAACTAAATATCATAAATTAATTATAATAAAATTAATTATATATCTACATATCTTTTTTATTATATTTTTTTGTGTTAATTCTGGTTGGTAAATTAGGAAGAAACGTGGTAAGAAATTTGGTGTATAAGTATTGACACTGGAACGATTGGGAACGATTTAGAATCGTCATTTCGTCGTTATTAGAAATCGTTGATTTTCAATCCTGCGCTCCAAAGGAGTTAGAAAGGGAATCATATAATGTTGAATAAGTTGGATTGGGTAATGAAACTCATGAACGGATTCAACAATAGTATGTTGTGATTGATAGCGAAATGAAAGCTGTTGTTGATCTTGCTAAAGTGTGGTCTGCTTCGACAAGCGAAAAATTGAATGGTTCTTTTCGCGGATACGAATTAATTAATTTTCTTAAATAAAATTTTAAGAAATAATAAAGTTTTGTTTATAATCATTAATTTTTTCAATGTCGTAGGAGATACTACTATTAACATAGCTTGGCAAGAGTTGATCGATCGTTTGAAATAGATTGTTAACATAATCTGGCGTTGGTGTAAAACTCGGAAATGGTTTATATAAAATATATATCTTTTATTATTAACACTATCAACGCAATAATTGATTAAAAAAAAAAGGAAATACAGATTCATATTTGAGACGCATAAGTTGGCAATCACTAATCCAGTAACAGTTTCACGATTAGATGTCGTCCATCTTGGAACGATTAATCTGGATTCACTTCCGGTTGCCTTCAATATCGAGGATTTGTCCTTTAATGTTTGGAAAAATATAAAGACATACTTATCTATCTGCATCGATGAAATTCTCAAGACAAGCAATTCAGTACCATCATTAGCTTCCGGTTTGATTAATTCGGTTTTGTGTTATTTACGTAAGGCATATACACAGACGGTTGGTACAGAAGCACAAATCGAAGATAAAAACATTATGAATAATACGGCCCATTTGATTTATCAATCGATGGATTATTGGTGTCCAGATCCTGATAAGCCATTCGATGTTGTTTATAACGAAAAGTGCAGTCGATTGTTCATTGACATATATTAATCCATTGAGACGGAGGACAAATCTATTTTACTTTCAAGTAATGATCATTTAAATATTATACGAATTATGAGATGCAATATTTAATTAATTAATCTTTATCGTGTACTTTTAGGACCCGTTAAAAGTCAATTAGCATCTATTTTATCTTGGATAGAAAATGGTTATCCCGTTATTTTACGAGGCCAAGAGGGATCTGATAAAGGTAAGCTGCTGCATTATCATATACATAAAATAAGGATAATGCACCTTGATACAAGGTTCCTATTTCCATGGTGCACAAAACCTTATTACGCGTTTAAAATAAGCTTACGTTCATTTGGATTTATTCTCTCATGGTAGAATAAGAATATATATTTAGCTTTCAAAGAGATACAATAATTTTATGCGTTTTTTTTATTTTTTTTAATGAAATAAAAATTATTATCTATATTGATGACAAACAAATCTCTTTTTGTAGAAATTGGTGAGAGAATTACTTCAAGACAAAGGATTTCATCAGAAGGGTTTCGCTCAAATTCCGTTAAAGTTATTTTGTACTGCGGATTGTATTTTATATTGCTTTTCATCCGAGATTAAAATGTCTCATAGTTACATATTATCTATCGTTGGTTATTTCGATGCTTAACTAAAGCAGAACAAAATAAAAATCAATGATGACACATCAAGATGTTGACAAAAGTATTGTAAGAAGAATAATTATTTCAACTAATATAAAAATTCGGTACGCCGTTTGAAGAACATATAAGTAGTATTGAAAATCATAAGAGTAAAATTAAAACATTAAAATAGAAAGAAATGCAGAAAAAATTCTCGAACAGAATATAATGGCAGGATTAGCTAAATTAGAACAAATGTATACTGCAAATCCTGACGATGTAAGAAATAAAAATGGGAGTAATCAAACTGATAGATTTTCACCAGCTGAGGTAAATAATTTTCAACCGATGGACGCTTTTCGATGGGAATGAATTTTTTTTCAAAACAATTAAGATTTATTCCAGAGAATAAATGCTTGTCCTCTTGAGGAGAACGAGTCTGGAGGTTTCTTCCAGCTCACTCGTACCTCACTTGTACCGCTGCAGTGCAGAGGTTATGTACGAATTTTCATGTTCTTATATCTTCCTGAAGACGTATCTATTGTTTTATAACATCATCTTTGTTCAATAAGGCCTCTAATAGAAACTTTAAATTTGATGCAAATGGAGTACGCTTAATATGTCCTATTGTATTGCTTCGGTGTTTGTTAAAATTCTTTCGGCAGTCTTGTTGGAGCTTAGAAATTTCAAATCTTACCCATTTTCTTATATCATCGCAAAACATATAAATCTTTCTTTCATTTTCCTTATCAACTGGTCCTCTTTCATCTTCATATGAGTACCAAGCAATAGATAGAAAGTGTGATTCCAATGGTTTTTTTCGGAGTAACATTTTGATATTTTTTTGCGAGATGCAAATATAAAGGCCATTCTACTTGATATGGCATCGCCATTTTCGTCAATAAAAGAATGAGTGTCCTATTGATACGTTCTACTTATCCATTCGCTCGTGGAATTCCTATCGTCGTTGTCATGTGTTGTATTCTTTTATCCTTGAAATATTTTCTAAAAACAATTGAAATTAATGTTTTTCCGCGGTGAAAGATTATTCATCACAGATTACCAGAGATCGTTGCTTATTTCCTTAAATGATTTAGTATCTCTTCAATGTCTTAAAACTCTTCAATGTCTGAAACTCTTAATTACGTACAATCAAACAAAAATTTTGTAAATGCATCAATTACTGCGAAGACATGTTTATAATTTTTCTTTGTGCTGGGAATGAATGAGACCTATGTATATGAATAAAATATGGTATATACTTAGCGGTAGTTTTCCATTTTCTATCAGATATAAAAATCTTTCCTGGCTTCCTTGTTCATATTCGACTTATATACAACTAATGCACTTTCGTACGACCTTTTCAATTTTGTGCCTCATTTCCTCGATTAATATTACACACTAACCAATTGTTCAGTTTTATTTACCGCAAAGTGGTCGCATTCGAGTGCTTGTCTAATTATTTGAAGCTGCAACGTTTTAAGAACTTCTATAAACACGTCATCATTGACTTGTCTGTACAATAAATCGTTTTAGAAATAAAGTTCTCCATACCTTTTTCTTTAATCATTCCTATGATCGCTCGACCCGCATGTCTTCGTCTCGGACCTTCTTTAATCTGACAGAAGTCTGTCGTCGTTATCTTTAACAAGCAATACCATGAATAAAGAATTTCTAGGGCGAGTACGTGTAGTATACTCTTATCCAACTGATATTCAATCGTATATGAGAATTCTTCGAGAAGAATCACTCATTTCGCAACACGCACACATAAACTTTCTTGTTAACGATCGTAATAAATGCTTTAATCAGTAATAACTTTGAAAGAAATATTATGTAAATAAATCCTAAATTTACGTAGTGCCTTGATAATCGTCAACACATTCTGTAAAACTATTCGTCTTAATTAATATTTGTTTTATTGTTTTATTATTTTGTTCAACTAAAGTTAACTCATATTGCCATTTTTTCTCTAAGTTCTTTGTTGTGTATCATACGAACTAAAGATTTCGTAAATTCATTCTAGCGGTAGTATGCAACATATAAAGTGTAAAAAATGTATTATATGTATTATCTTGTAATATAATTTTCATTTGTTATGTTGTAATTTGTTTTTTTTAAATACACGTAACATACAAATATGGAAAGTTTTTTATAATTTTGTTTTCCACTGTAATCGAGTACTCTGAACCGCCTAATATTAATAGTAACCAAACATTGCATTCGTTGCAGCACTGATTACTGACTACTACAGCACCAACTCAAGGACAAGGCATGTACGTGTCTACATTCTCTGATAGTATGAGCAGCAAGGAAAAAAGCAAGTATAGAAAATTTGACTACATAAGAATCGCATATCAGGAGAAGAAGCCTAATCGACCCAAACACACCACGTCTGAGAATTCTTTTGATGGAACATTCTCATCATCGTCAGGATTGCACATGAAGTCAGTGTATATAAATGAATAAAAACTCAATGTCCTGAAAAATAATCACATCCCACTTCGACCACCGAAAGTCAACGAAGATCTCTCTTTCTCTCTTTCTCTATCCCTCTCTCTCTCTCTCTCTCTCTCTCTCTCTCTCTCTCTCTCTCTCTCTCTCTGTAATCTTGACTAATTAGTCAGAATAGGCTCGCCTTAGGTCACTACAGAAAATTGAAATTATAGATATACGTGCTGGAATAATTACAATAACGCAACTGGTATATTCATTTTTAATCATATATTGAATAATAGGTATCAAATCATTTATCCTTCTGATTTTATATGGTCATCACACCTTCGGTGATAAACTTTTTTATCTCAGACGTAGCAGCTGACATTGAGTGCCAGTCATCACACCTTCGGTGATAAACTTTTTATCTCAGACGTAGCAGCTGACATTGAGTGCCAGGTTGTGGACAGGCTTAATTTTGATCACATGGCTGTTATAGTAACATCTTGAAACATCTCATTATCTTGGTCAGATTAAAAATCGGAAGTTTCATTACTCTTTCAGGGAGAACTTAAGTACCATTATCAGCATATCACTTTTATCACTTTTTTTATGCATGCATATATAAATTTATCAATATATCACTTTTATCAGCTTTTTTATGCATGCATGCGTGAGAAAGGTCACTACTATCAGTGTCTCCTTACACCCAAAGCACCGTATTTTATCAGAGAATAATTGATTAATTCAACTTATACGTTACTATAGGAGGCTCAGACACAATCGACTTCTGTTTGGAAACTACTCAGATTAGCTCCGAGATATTTCTGCTTAGATATGCTTTCATATTTCTGATCTTAGAAATACAAATTAGACTGAACAGCTTGAGTCTTTTAAAAAATTGACCCGACCTTTTATAGCAACATTCAATAATCATCAAATCCAAATTATCATTATACACTGTGCCTTTTTTACAGCATAATAATGTTGTAGCGTCATTTGACCTTGATAAAGTAGATGCGTTAGCTAAAAATTTTGTTGACATCCATAACAACGCCTCTATGTTAAAGTCCAGGCACTTGCATTTCATTAATGGCTTGATCAATCAGTTCAATTTTAAGAAGATGGGAGTTCAGTAGAACACTTCCAATTTTCCTTGTTGTACCTCGTCTATCATTTGCCGTCTGAGTAATCATAAGACTTCTGAGGACGACAGAATATCTTCACTCATGTTAATGCATACTTCAAATAAGTTCATCTTTCAATTCTAGTATATATATTTAGGTTTTGTTAAAATTTTAATTATTTTCCAAACTCTAGGAAAATAGAGTATTTCCCATTTTAAAACCCAACAAACCAAAAGATTTGGTTGCTAATTATTAGCCGACTAACCTCCTCTCCATTCTTGACAAGATTTTTGAAAGTCCGAGTGTGAGTCAGTCTTAAGCAAACCTCATAGCGTGTATCTCTAATAAATCTTCTATATGAACCACTCACAAGTTAAATTGATTAATTTCACTTTTCGAATTTTTTTAAATTTAAGTGCCAAAGCACGATTTATTTTCACTTTTTATATTCATAATAAATTTCTCTAATTTCCGTCATTTAATACCATTAAATGACAAAATTTTTTTGGCATCGAATAAAAGATAATTATTTCAGAAGTCAATCTGATTAACTCCGTACTCTAATGTAAATCGTTGGAATAATACAATTCAAATAATACAATTCAAGGCCTTACCAGTAAATTGTTTTATACATTTATACACTCTAATGTTTATTTGAATTTATATTTTAAAGAAAATTTTAAAAAGCAATTTATATTATTTCCCTACATCTTCCCACTTTTTGTTTTAAAGAATTAATCGATTTGACAAATGAGCAGTTCATATAATAATTACATATATTATCTACCTTATTTTTTAACCACAACAATACTACTTCAATCTTAGAATTCTGTTTTATTAATTAAAATCCTTTTATTAATAAAGTCTTAACTGAATTGGCATCACTTATATTGAATTTTTCTAGTAATTTCTTAATATAAATATTTCCTTTGACTTAACTTTACACTTTCTTTATTTACTGAAAATTCAATTCCTAAACAGTATTTAATACATTCTAAATCCCTTATAGATGAAACAGTATTAGTTAAATCGTTCTTAAGTACTTAAATTTTCTTTAAATTTTTAGATAATATTAAAATATCGTAATAAATCCTTCTCCTTGTCACGATAATAAACGCAAGAATTGAATTGAATTGAATGAAAACGCCTAATGAATTCAGACTTATAGATTTTAATTCTTTATCTAATTTATACGACAGTAAAATAGCTATTTTATAAATATAATCACCTTATCGAATTTTTTAAATATATATAGACTTTTACATAAATCAGCTTTAGTTAAAACATTATCCTTATTCTTTATTGCACACCTTTCTTTGTTAAAATTAATTTTATAATCCTTCTCTGTTAGCCTTTTCACTGACAGAATATATTCTCTTAATGCTGGAACATAAAATACATCTTCCACAAATAATTTAATAAGTTGATTGCTACTCAACGCTCTAAATCTTAGAAATTTTGCGGACTCGCCTGGGATTTATGAAATTAAGAATTCGATTTAAAATAGGGATTGATTAAAACGTACGACATACGCGAGAGTAATCTGCTATATGATCTGGAATCTTTTGACGTGAACAAATTTTTAGTTTCTTTAAGCTTTTAGTTTCTTTTTATTCTTTAGTTTGAACTACTTATTAAGAAAACAAAGATTAATCACAATGGAAATTGTTTTTAAGGATAATGGAAGCAGATCTAACGGACGCGTGGATGACGAGCGCGATCGTTAAGGTCCAGTAAGAAGCGACAAGCAACGATCCGAATGTTATGGCGGAACAGGTCGCAATAATTTTTCGTCACATGAAAGAATGATGACAGGCTACTTGTGAAAAAAATCGCGCAGAATTCGTTAATTGCATGATCCTTGACGAATCAGCTGAAGTCCGACGTAAATTTCCGTTTTGG